TATGCCTGTCTACTGCTTGGCTGGAAGCAACAGGTGTGTGTTCAATTCCAGACCTGAAGGACAGCTAGGGGCCATAGTCTCAGTGGTTCCACCAGGCTCCAGTGGGCCAGTAAACCTGATCCCTGCTTTTTTTTTTCCCTAATGATTTTAAGTTTTGTTCCACATTGTTCCCCCTATCTATCCAGGATCTCCTACAAAGATCCTCTTCCAAGTGGTTGACAGTAGTAGCCGAGCACCGTCTATTTCTTCTGGTCTCATAGTCATATACTGCAGATCGGATGGTATACCAGTTGCTAGGACTGATTGTTTCCATGAATTTTTGGTTTTCTTCATTCTTCTTGGCCCTGGATGAGGAGAGCCTCTTCGTTGCATCTAGATGGCAGCTTGCAAGCTTTTAATATCTCAGTCGCTGCTAGCCACAATAGAAGGTGCAACAATGATTTGTGTAGTATGTTGTAGCATCATTTCTTAAAGAGATTGTCTCTTACTCTTTAAATGAGTTTTGGCCACTTGTCAAAGATCAGCTGTCCATAGCTGGATGAATCTATTTCTGGATTCTCAATTCTGTTCCACAGGTCTATGTGTCTGTCATTGTACCAATACCAGGCTGTTTTGACTACTGTGGTGTATAATAGGTTTTGAAATTGCAGAGTGTGAGACCTAGCTTGTTTTCCTTCTTCGGTATTGTTTTGCTTATTTGTATACTGTTTTCCATATATAATTAGTGATTGTTTTTCCCATGTCCTTAAAGAATGTTTATGGAATATGTATTGAGATTGCATTGAATCTATAGATTGCATTGGGTAGTATTGACATTTTTCACAATATTCAGTCTTTCTATCCATGACCATGGGGTGTTCTTCCATTTATGTAGGTCTCTTATGGTTTTTGTAATAGTGTTTTGTAGTGTTCTTTGTAGAGGTCTTTTGTGTCTCTGGTAAGATTTATTCCCAAGTATTTTATTTTTTTTCATATATCTGGACTATATGAAGAAGAACGTGGCATCAGGATTGGAGGAAGAATCATTAACAACCTGTTATACACTGATGACGCAACTTTGCACTTTGCTTGCTGAAAGTGAGGATGACTTGAGGCACTTACTAATGAAGATTGAGGAATACAATCTGCAGTATGGATTACATGTCAATATAAAGGAAACAAAAATCCTCACCACTGGACCTATTAGCAGCATCATGATAAATGGAGAAAAGATTGAAGTTGTCAGAGACTTCACATTATTTGGTTCTACAGTCGACGCGAATGGAAGTAGCAGTCAGG